CAAACTAGCCTGAGCCTTGCTAGCCTGTGACAAAACTAAGAGGGAAAAAAAACAGTCCCCGCTTAAACGCATTGAGTGTGCAACGGTACATACAAAACAAGCAATCGGTGATTCAAATATCTCGGTATCGTGAAAATTAAACAAAATAAATATTTACCGTTTCCATCGCTGGCTGAGGCAGATAGTGCCGGGGAGGACAGTTTAGGCCTCTTGGCTGAAGGCGGGCCAGAGTCCAGAACGTTCTCGGCCATATTTTTTAACGAATTAAAATATATATCCTCCGAGATAGGCGCGTAAGCCTATTCGTAATCCTCGATTTTAAAAATATCGCTTTTAAAAATATGACATTTCCCCCTCCTTTTTAGGGACGAAGGGGGGGAAAGTCCCGTGTACAAAATACTCCTCTTTCCTGGGTTCGCCTCTCGATTTCAGCTTCAGCGTATCAACCCCCCTCCCCTGTCCGATTTTTGTTCTTTATACAATTCTGCAAGCGGAGGAGGAGGTAGGGGGAGTCGGCTCGGCAAGAAAGGATAAAAAAGACACTCGCAGCGGCTCTACAAGAACTCATCTAGTCCCGTCAAGAGTTACAGGATTGAGCGATGATGTATTTGAAATAATTTGCTCGTCTGCCATATCTTTTCGCAACAGAGGTGTGTTTTGTAGACTGAGTCGGATGAGGTTGTCAGTATAAAATGGAAGTAAAATTGTATAAGTGAATTTTAATTATCACAGATGTCAGTTGGTATTTTAGTTCCGGCAATGTTTTCATTACAGACTTATTAGCTTATTAGAATAAATTTGTTATGAAAATATACCTTTCACGTTTTAATGGGAAAATTTCAAAAGTCACAAAAAAAATAGACTTACATTGTTGATCTTAACAGGTTTTAGTTATTAAATCCAATAACTACAAGAAACAAGCTTCTTTAAAAAGAGCAACAAATAACCAACAATATCCCACTTTGATTAGTGTTTTAACTTATTAGGCTATTGCATTTCAATGCAATAAACCTATGTTTAGGCCTATGCAAAAAACAAAGCCAAGAACTGATTTAAGAATGAGCCTACATTTGATTTGATTAATGATTCAAGAATTGCATTGAAATGTTGAAAATAAAACAGCACCTTATTCTGTAACAACATTCTTCTATATATCGGTCAATCTATCTTTACAATAATTTGTTCATTTTTAGTCATTACACAAGAACCCTCTGTGGTCGACGAACGCGCCAATTAAATATTAAACCTTTATGGCCCGGTTTCACAGACAGGGCTTAGATTAAGCCAGAATTAGACCTTAGTAGCTTTTATAAACATGCCTTAGGAAAATTACTAGTTTGCATCTTGAGACAAAACAATGGCACTGACATATTTTAACAAATGTCAGTGCAAGTTGCTTTCAGTTAAAACTCCTCAAACATGCATTTTAGTCTGGGACTAGTCTTAAGCCTCTGTGAAACCGGGGGCAAATATTTAAGGCCTACTCGTCTTTTTAAATTGAGGTTGTTGTACCCAGTTGAATGACAGCTATGATACCTAAATTGTGTTACATAGTTTGAATAAATATGACTATAATTCTTATAAACAGATTGCCATTTTAAATTGTTGTCTAATTCATTGGTAAGATATTGGAAAATGACTTTCTATCAGCCTTTGTAGGAGAAACTGAATGTCACATTGCTTTTGATTTATCATTGGCTAGCAATAATACAGCAGGCATATTTTATCCTCATAATATTTTTCTATACTTTAAAGAATTGAAAGTGATTTGGAGAGGTTTGGAGTGAAAAGGCTCCCCAATGCTTTATTTTATGAAAGTGATTTGTCATTGAAAAATGTTTTAAGACATTTAAGACAAAATGAAGCAAATTCAGTCAATCCAGAGCAATTACAATTTGTATCAATATATTAGATGAAAGGAAGAAGTGGTTATAGGCCTAACAATGTGCACCTAACAATGCAAGGCAAATCACCTTTTGGGAACTTTTCTAACAATTATTGCAGGACAGTTATGCATAGTCCCAAATGACACTACATTGCCTCTGAGTTTGGCAATTTGATTAAAATCATGTTTTTATTTTTATTTTTTATTTCATGACCCCACTTTATGCATCTTGGCAGTCTTTACTCTTGCTCTTTTAAGGTACTAAAGTTACTTTTCAAGGTTATGGTTACCTCAAACAGCACACCCACAGCTGACCCACTGTCCATTCACTGACGTTTGATGCTGCACACAAAAATGGCAAGAATTTGATGGCCAAAAGACGTTTGATCAAAAAACTTCACATTAAACTTACTGTTTCAATTTAAAACAGCCATGAAATCAAAATAGACTATTCTTGTTTTTTATGGAATATTGCAGAATTTATAATAGGCCATATATGATTTATTTGTGCACATCATTATTATTATTTTAATCCATGAGCCCTAGTAATCTTCAATCAAAATGACTTCCCCTCCCCTCTCAGTTGTGCACTTTCATCAGGGTGGGACAACCTGTCACTCACATGAGATCATAGAAACAGCAAATCACAATGACTCAATCAATTCCTGATGGACAAAATCAAGCCCCGCACAAAACTTGTTCTTGTTCGAGAAGCCGTTTCACAGAAAATTCGTCATGAATAGAAAAGAAAAGACTATTGCAACTTCCTTTTCATGCTGACTTTAACATAGTGAAGTCAAGTCACCTTTATTTATACAGATTGTTTCAAAGCAGCTTTACAGTCATAACAAGAAAATGATTAAACCATGCAAACAGTTCATTTCGGCTCTACAGCAGGGCTAAAAGAAAAGTGTCATTGTTCAGCTGAAGTCAGTTCAGTGCTGATTCAGTTCCATTGTAAAGATCATACATTTTTGAATTAGTTCATTTCATCTATACAGCAGTTCTGCAGAAAACAGTGGTCATTGTCCAGCTCAGTTCAGTTCTCCTCCAATAGTGTCAGTGCAGTCAAATCAATAATATGGTTGAATATTAAGTATTCCCAACTAAGCAAGCCAGAGGTGACAGTGGCAAGGAACCCAAACTCTATCAGGGCAGAATGGAGAAAAAAAAAAAACCTTGGGAGAAACCATGCAGGCTCAGTCAGGGGGGCCATTCCTCTCTGGCCAACGAATAAGCACGGTGTGATTATGATTCAGGCTGCATCACAAGTCAGAAATCAGATTTTGGATCGGTAGCATTCAAATATTTCATCCAGTTCCTTTTGTTTGAAGATCGGATTCATCACGCTGGTATGGAGCCGAAGCTGGCCGTATGGTCTGTGCGGAGAACCTGTCTGGTTCTTGTAGTCTTTGCTGAGGATCTGTGCCGATGGCTGTCACGTCGACGAGGCCTTCACAGGTTGATGGGATCTCTGCTTACAAAGGAAACATTCAAGTTAGTTAATTTCCTGCCATTTTGAGAACTTATGTGAGCATGCAGCTGGGAATGAACTGTAATTGAATAGAATGAATTGTACCTTTTCACTTATAGAAGTGTTAGTAATGTTAATCTACATCATTGCTGACGCAGTTCAGCTGAGTAGAAAGGAGGAGCTGCATATACAGATTCTATAGCCTGTAATACTTAATTTGTATAAGTATAATTTTAAGTATAGGCTATAAGTTTTTCTTAAATAATAAATTCACATTTTATCACTAATAAGAAAGGAAATGAGGAAGAAAACAAGAATTTACCGCTTACAGTCAGTTTGCGGGTGTTGTGGAGAAAGTCATCTATTTCTTGCAAATGAAGCTAAAGAGGCAGAGTTCCAGAAGTCAAAATAAGACTTCATTGAACAAAGCAACAAAGCCGTATCTGTTATGTCGCAATAACCAAGTGACTTCATTTTCTGGTAAGATTCACCCCTCCTGTTTCCCACAATTAAGTTTTACTTCTCTCGCCTTTCTCTCTAATCCTACCAGTACCAATTGATGGTCAACCCTTTCTCAGAGGCAAGATAACATATGTAAAATTTTCCAAGGACAATCAACTCTTTCCCAGAGGCAAGAAGCCTCCAAGTGACATTTATTTCACACCTCTAATGGTCTTGATATCCTCTTTGGTCTTTCACAGCCATCTGTTGTTTAATGGAAATTCCCTGACTTTGCACAAACTGCTCAGTGGGCCATAGACTTTCTCAGATATATTTGACTTGTAATAATTATTTCTTACAGTCATAGGCCATATGAGGTCCTCAAAACACATCTAGCCCATAGTTATTCAAAACTATTTCTTCAATTGTTTTCTATAGGATAGGCTAAATGAAATATTTAATCGCTGGTGAACTTTCAGAAAGATTTGCTATAGGCTATGTGACGCCTATCTTAAAACAGTAAACAAAAAACAAACAAAAAAAGTATATTTGTACAAAATTTGTATCTAAGCATTGTGAAACGCACTATACAATAAAACTTACTTGATTTGTTTTTACCTCTCAAAAAAAGGAAAAGACAGGTTCCACCGAGATTTGAACTCGGATCGCTGGATTCAGAGTCCAGAGTGCTAACCATTACACCATGGAACCATACGCCACTAACAATAACGTGTTTAGATGAATATTTTAATATTATAAACCTAAATACGCACACAATAAAAACATATAAATTGTTCACTGTGTGGTTAAGGGTTTTACTAATCACATCGTATGACAAACAACCAGCTTATAAAATCAGACATGGATAATTTTGGAATATAATATCTAGTTCTCCAGTCCGGACGATGGCGCTAATGCGCTGTTCACGATGAGAGCAATCCATGTACACTGGATTTTCTAAGAGGCAAAGTAGGTAAGAAATGGAGAAATGCTCTCTTTTACACACAAGAATGTTCATATAATTGTTTTGAATCTTCGTCTGTGTTAGTCATATTTTACCATTTATACAGAACTCTCTAATGTTATTCAAAGCTTTGTTTATATGCTTGCAACATTGAATGAGTGCAAGAGACAGTAAACCAATGTGGTAGGCTATAATGTTATTATCTGGTGGAAATATTCAAGTAGTTTATTGCTTCTTAAACGTTATTCGCAGTCAACCTTTGGAGCCAGCTGCAGACTGCATTCCTGAAGACGCTGAGGACCTCTGTATATAATAAAAAATACAAATGCCCAACAAATGCGTTGCTTATGGCTGTGGGAAGTTCAGCGGGCAAAATGTCTCAATGTTCAGATTTCCCAAAGACCCCGTGGAGTTCCGCAAATGGGAGAATCAGGTCCAGAAGACCCGCAAAACTTGGGTCGCCAAGACGTACTCCCATTTATGCTCTGAGCACTTCAGCAGGGACTGCTTTGATCCGAAGTCTTATGCCGTTGCAAAAACAATGGGATTCAAAGGGCTGAGACTGAAGGAGGGAGCTGTCCCGACTGTTTTTATCCGACCACCGTGCAGTACGAGAAGGAAACGCAGAGTGACCACTGAACCTCAACAGTTTGCATCAGTGAGTGTCTGATACCTCTTTGTTTAGTTGTAGAATCTTTGAAAAAGCCTGAGGCTGGGAGACATGAATACTACAGGTCAAAATTTTGGAATAATCAAGATTTTCACCAAGGCTACATTTATTTGATCAAAAATACAGTAAAAACAGCAATATTGTGAAATATTATTACAATATTAAATAACTATTTTATATTTTAATAGATTTTGAAATGTACACTCCTGGGCAAACATTTTACCAGATTAACCATAAATCACTGGTCAGGAAGTTAGCACGAATTGCACAAAAACTGTAGAAGTAATTTAGTACAAGTTTGTTTTCTTTAAATGTTTAAGCTGTGTGGATAAACTTATATATTCTGCCAAAAACTTCATTATGTCTTTGATGTTTTTCTGAGACAGCAATGGCTTTTCAATGAGGGCATTTGCTTAAAGGTAGGTTAGGCCGTTTTCAGAGAGGCTAGCAAAATTGGGCTAGCTTTGAAAGCATCAAAGCACATAAACACGTACATTAGGGAGCACAAAAAAGCCTCATGAGAGATGGCTTTAAACTACCTCATGTCTCAAAGCACATCGCATTACAATAATAATGAACAAAAAAACAACTTAAAGAGCACTGACCTGTACCACCTGACTGCTGCAGATTAATTTCACTGTTGATAGTGTTGCCATTGGCATGTATATAATTTTGTACAAATGTAACACATTTTGATTAATGAATAAATAACTTTGCTCTTTCAAAATGATGAACAGGACGAGACATTTATGGATGACAATCAGAACAATGGAGAAGAGCAAATATTTGATGGAGCAGACCACAATCAGCCGATTTCCAGCGATGACGGAGTAAATAATCCTGTGACACTTTCTTCTCCGGCAGAAAATGATGGAATAGGTGATTCAGAAACCCCTATATTAATGAACTCACACAAGTACCATGGAAAAGTATATGTAAACCCCACTCAATTTCATGTTTCTGCAGTTAAATGTGAAATGTGTGGAACCAGTGGCACTACAAACACCTTCTTCTCCAGGTCCAAGCGCTTCTGCAGTTTGTCCTGCTCACGTTCATACTCATCCAACTCCAGAAAAGCCTCAATTCTTGCACGGCTCCAGGTGGGATTTTCTGTCATAGAATTGTATACATATTTATTCAAACAGTAATTACATTTTTTGCGTCTTTGTATTTAGGGAAGGCCGCCCACAAGGAAGTCATCACACAAACTGTGTCTGAAATCACAGACCGAGGCTCTGCAGTCAAAGGCCACTGAGCAGCATCAGGAGAGCAGAGCATTTGGACAAGATGGTAAGAAAACACACAAATCCCTCTCGCTTTTTACTACAGTGAGCTTTACAAATGTAATTTTGCCTGTTTTAATGTTCATATTGCCCTGTCTTCTTCCAAGCTACTTTGGCTGGATTTGACTGGGGTAGTTACCTTGAGAAAAGTGGCCTCCTCGCTGCTCCTGTATCTTGCTTCAGACACGTGAGTTATTTCTATCCAGCGAACTTCTCCTTCCGGAAATGTACCAGTGATGGATAAATGTGATAGATGTAGAAAACCATGATACATTACCTATATGTGTACATTTCCTTCACATTATACTTATTGCATTATAATGGTCAATACATTATTGCCCATTTCACAGGCACCACTCTGCGCTCAATGGGACGACATCTATGTGGGGTTAAAAGTGGAGGTTTTGAACACCCATACAGCCTTGCCTAGTAAGGTGTACTGGATCGCCACTGTTGTACAGCTGACAGGTATATAAACTCTTGTGTTTCCTCCACCATAGCTGAATACTACGGCAAATAAATATTTTATTCTTTTTATTTATATAAAAAAATATCAATATATTATATTTAAAATTACACTACCTTTCAAAAGTTTGGGGTTGATAAGACTTTTGAAAGAAGTCTCTTATGCTCACCAAGGCTTTTAATCAAATATACAAAAAAAAAGAAGTAATATTGTGAAACCTTATTGGGGGGAAGAAGAGATCAGAACAAAAAGAACAAAATAAGAAAAATCACATCTTCATCCTGTTCAAAAGTTTTCACCCCTTGCTCTTAATGCATTGTGTTTCCTTCTGGAGCATCAGTGAATTTTTTCACCTTTTGTAAAGTGTGAAAAGATGAATATTATATTTATACTTTATAGTTATTTTATTTGACAAGTCTTTAGTTGCAGTCTGAATAGAATGTAACGAGTTTAACAGACTGGTAACCACAAATGAATAAGCAAAAACAATAAAGAAACGATACTCATTAAACAATACAATATTCTTTCTAATAAAAAACAAAAAATAAATATAGTGTACTGCGATTCATAAACCGATGACTCCGGACAGGTTTTTGGAAGTTATTTGTAAATTGAAACCAAGAGGTTTTAATAGTTACACATTTACAGAGTAGTTTGAAATTTAATAAATGTTATTTTAATAAAACGTTAGATTATGGGGACTAATATGATGTTGTGTGATAAATTGATTAATTCTTTGTCATATATATTGTATGATGTGATGTGTTTCTCTCAGGCTATAAGGCTCTTCTGCGCTATGAGGGTTTTGAGGATGATGACAGCCATGACCTGTGGTGTAACATAGGCACGGCTGATGTTCATCCTATAGGCTGGTGTGCAGTGAATAGCAAGCTCCTGGTCCCTCCTCAAGGTGAATGTTTACACCGTAGGTCATTAGGTATAAATGCCATAAAAATGCTAAATCTTGACCCTTTTTTTGTCCTTCAGAGGTCCACCAGCATATTAAAGACTGGAAATCCTACCTGATGGAGAGACTAGTTGGAGCACACACACTTCCTGTTGACTTTCATGTCAAGGTGAAGGCAATGGGAAATTAGTAAACCATTGATGCCATCTGATTTTCTTTAGTTGCTGCATAACTGTCTTCCTCTGTTTCCCGTCTGTATGTGTTTCAGATGGCAGACAGTTTGAGGTGTGCGTTCAGACAGGGGGTTCGCGTGGAGGTGGTTGATCGCTCGCAGGTGTGCCGTACCCGTTTGGCAGTGGTGGATACTGTCATAGGAGGGCGACTCAGACTGCTGTATGAGGATGGGGGACTGGGACCCTCGGGCGAGGTGCTCTCAGATTTCTGGTGTCACACGCAGAGTCCTCTAGTACACCCTGTAGGCTGGTCTGAAAGAGTGGGGCACTCAATCAAAGAAACAGGTGAGAAGAAACTGGCATTTATGGATTGAGTCAAGCCTAGACACCCACAGATAGACAAAATGTCAGTACAAACATGAAGAGTCTTAAAGCTTTACATGAGTTGGAAAAATACAGAGCTTCGAACAGGACGTGGGGAGGGAACATTTTTTATATATTGATATTGTGGCCACGGATTTGTAATTCAATTTGTGGATGCTGAGGGAGGGGAGGATGGGAAGGAAGTTTATGTAAGTAGTACATTTGTAAGTAATGGATTTCCTTGTTATCTTTCATATTTGACAGATAAAAATATGGTTAAAAAAAAAGAATTTGTTCCCATAATGGATTATATTGTTCCCTTGTTTTAGTTAGGTTGTCAGTCGTGGGAACGAATTAATAAATCCTGGGATCACATTCTTCTTCCATATGTTACGTGCGGGCAGGGTTGGGCAAAGATACATCAAAATGTATTTTAAAATAAAAGACCAAATACCTTAATTTTAAGTGTATCAAAATAAACTACAAACTACAGCAGCCACACCATGTATCAAAATAAAGAAAAAAATACTTTTACAAGGGAGCATGAAATTTCTTCACAAACCTTCTATCAATTGGCCTATTTGATCTATCCCTTCACCATTACACTGATTCAGTTGATTAACAATGTTTGATAGCAACAGCTTTTCTCTGCCCGAGTCATGCAACAAATCTGACATGCCATCAGTTAACAGATCAAATATTCACATATCCCTGTAATCTTCCAGATGAAGGTTAGTTTTAAAGTAACCAACAGTTTAATGTTTAACAATGAGACATAATTGTATCCTTATTTAGTTACTTGGTGTTTGGTAACGAACTCAATGGGCCGTACACGCGTGACGCAAGTGTTTTTAGCTAGTTTCAGCCTGAAGCAGTTATCATTTTCATGTCCTGCGCCACGTTGTTTAAATAGCAAATCCATTTGCGCCCAAACGAGGGGTGTTCAGGCACATTGTTGGCGCGTTGCTATTTTGTGGCAACTGAAATAGACTGTTTGCGCCCTTTAAATAGCAAAAAAATATTGCGCCATTGACTTTAGACCAGGTTTCAGTTGGTCAATGGCGCAATATTTATTTATTTATTTATTTTAAAGGGCGCATTAGTAATATGAGCCTATAGGTGGGTCCACAACTCGCATACACTGTGCTTATTACACACACAGGGACACAAACCAGCCACATATGAAAAATAAATGTAAAAGATTATTATTCTGTACATAAAGATTTGGTGGAATCCGGCTTGTCCCATAGATGGTCTGCTTGCACGCTTTAACCTTGCGCACGAGCAGATCCATTTCCTCTCTAGAGAAGCGTTCAGTCGTTCCGCTTTCAAATTCCGTCATGTAAACAGCAAATCCGCCTTTACTAGCTTTTAAAGGGAATGGGAGATGAGACTCTGATTGGTTTATTGCATGTTACGCCCAAAACACACCCATTACTCATTAAGAGAATAGGGACAACCCTTTTAGACCATGCACCTGGCGTGCCGACCATTTTTCTCGTTAAACTAGCAAAAGTGGATTCAGACATGACTTAAGTCAAGTCAAGTCAAGTCAAATATATTTATATAGCGCTTTTCACAATACAGATTGTACCAAAGCTGCTTCACAGTATCAATCAAAACAACCTAAGAGTGTTTGTTTATTACTGGAAAAAAGACATCCAAGTTTGGTAGAGCTAGTCAATGGTATGATGGGTCATTTAATTTGAAAATCCCCAAACTGAGCAAGCCAAAGGCAACAGTGGCAAGGAACCGAAAAACTCCGTCAAGTGACCCGATGGTGTCCTAAAACTCCATCAGATGACCCGACGGAGAAAAAAAAAAACCTTGGGAGAACCCAGGCTCAGTGGGGGCCAGTTCTCCTCTGGCGTTTATGAAGTAGAGGCCGAATATACAGTAACTGTAAGATAAAAATGTTATATCAATGCCAGACTAAAAAGATGCGTCTTTAGTCTAGTTTTAAACTGGGAGAGCGAGTCTGAGCAATGAACAATATCAGGAAGGCTTTTCCAGAGTTTTGGAGCTAAATGTGAAAATGCTCTCCCTCCTTTGGTGGATCTGGATATCCTAGGAATGACCAGAAGCCTCGAATTTAGTGATCTTAAAGAGCGCGATGGATTATAGGGCGATAGAAGATCCGTTAAATAGACTGGAGCTAAACCATTTAGAGCTTTATAGGTCAAAAGCAATACCTTGTAATTAATACGGAACTTTATAGGTAACCAATGAAGTGACGATAAAATCGGTGTTATATGATCATATTTTCTTGATCTAGTAAGAACTCTAGCGGCTGCATTTTGGACTAACTGTAGCTTATTTATTGAAGATGCAGGACAAACAGCTAATAAAGCATTACAGTAATCTAGTCTCGAGGTCATGAATGCATGAACTAACTTTTCTGCATCAGAGACTGATAGCATATTACGTAGCTTAGCAATGTTTCTAAGGTGGAAAAAGGCTGTTTTTGTAACATATGAAATATGCTTTTCAAAAGACAGGTTGCAGTCTAATGTAACACCCAGGTCTTTTACTGTAGCGGATAAAGTAACAGGGCATCCTAATATGTTAAAGTCGTGCTGTGAAAGGTTTTGTGGACGGTTTTTAGATCCGATAAGTATTACCTCTGTCTTGTCTGGATTTAATAAAAGAAAATTACGCGTCATCCAATCTTTTATATCTTTAACACACTCTGTCAATTTGGATAATTTCGCGTATTCATCTGGCCGTGATGAAATATATATTTGAGTGTCATCAGCATAACAGTGGAAACTAATTCCATGTTTCCTTAGAATATTACCAAGTGGCAGCATATATATTGAGAATAATAAAGGGCCTAACACAGATCCCTGCGGCACTCCATAGTTTGCCGAAGTTACGATCGATTTTTCTCCATTTAAGTAGACGAAATGGTAGCGTTCAGATAAATATGATCTGAACCAGCTTAATGCTTGTCCTTGAACACCAGTGTAATTTTGTAGTCGATCTAAGAGTATTGTGTGATCTATAGTGTCGAACGCAGCGCTAAGATCGAGTAAAACTAGTACTGAGATACAGCCTTGGTCAGAAGCTAAAAGTAAATCATTTGTGATTCTAACAAGCGCAGTTTCAGTGCTATGATGTGGCCTGAATCCAGACTGAAACTTTTCATAGATGTCGTTTTCTTGCAAGAAAGAGCCGAGTTGAGCGAACACAACTTTTTCTAATATTTTAGACATAAATGTAAGATTTGAAATGGGTCTGTAGTTTGCTAGGTTATTTGGGTCTAATTGTGGTTTCTTAATAAGAGGTTTTATAACTGCCAGCTTGAATGTTCTTGGAACATGACCTAAAGATAAAGACGAGTTAATGATATTGAGAAGAGGTTCTTCCACTATAGGTAACACTTCTTTCAGTAGTTTAGTTGGTATAGGATCTAATAAGCATGTTGTTGTTTTAGATGAGGCGATAAGTTTATTTAGCTCTTTTTGTTCTATGGTCGTAAAGCATTGTAATTGTTCTCGCGGGGTGAAAAATTGCGACTGAATTACAAGGCGCGAGCAAAGATTGAGCGTTTACGATTGTGGTTCTGATGCTTTCAATTTTCTCGGTGAAGACTTAAGTGCGCTTGGGCCGTGTGTGCGCTTTAGACCATGTGCTTAGATCGTTAAAATACGGCCCCTAGACAAACTAATAGCACCTGTATTCATACCAACTAGTTTCTAACTAATTAATCATTTGATTGTTAATCATAAATCTAATAATATATTATGTGTCAGGCAGTCTGGTATAATAGTTTTCAAGAACATTATGTAAATTGGTAAACTATTTAGCCTAGGCTACTAAAACGAACACCAAAACTTAACATGAACTGTTAAAAATGATAGCAATTTATGCAAAACATTTTTGGAAAGCTGGCAGCCTGCACGTTTCTTACCTTGACCACGTTCTTCCATATAGATCAATTTTCTGTTCTGATCTCAACAGGTCTGGGCAATCTACTGAGTAGGCACCAATCAGAGGCCGGATTTTTATGATGTCATCATGTAGACTTCTTACAGCAAAAATATTTTTTTTTGTATGGAACCCAAAAAAGAAAAAATGTGGAACAAAACTAAACAATTGTGTGAGATAAAATGGCAAATAAAATACCTTTTGTTTTTCCATATTCTTCACTCTGTATTTTTGCCATTAGGTGATTTGTAATGATGTCATGCATGGTTTTTCTGACACAGATGTGAATGTCAACATGGGTAGCCATCCAGCATTTCGTAAAGTCCTTCAAAACAGTGTGCCAGATCAGTTTAAGAAGGTTAGTGCGTATATCATGAACTAAAATATTGTTAAAAAAAAAATGTTTTCATTTTGTGTTAATGTTAGTTTTAAAATCTTGTCATGTAATCGTCTACCGTAGTATGTATAATTCCTTGCTGTATGCAGTTGAGGACCGTTTATTTGGGAAATACGTTTTTTGAGGAAGGCATGAAACTTGAAGCAGTTGATCCTCTGAACCTTGGGAACATCTGCGTTGCATCAGTCCGTAAGGTACGACACAGCCACTATTTATTTATGACTTTAAATGAATATTGCACATTGCCTTGTTGAAAGTAATTGCACTGACCTGGCTAATCTTATCACTCAGTTGTTGCTGGATGGATACATTATGGTAGGCATTGATGGTGTCGAGATCGGTGACGGTTCTGACTGGTTTTGCTACCATGCCAGCTCACATGCCATTTTACCTGTTGGATATTGCGAGAGCAACGACATCCCTCTTACTCTACCTCCTGGTAATGTGCTCAACCGATTATTCCAGTGGTCTTCTTGCAACAAAAATCAATATTGAAGCCTATATTTGCAATTTCATACAGTGTTTGTTGATATTGTCTCCTTTCTCATCAGGTTATGATCATGCTACTTTCACATGGGCAAAATATTTAGAAGAAACAGGAACTCTAGCTGCTCCACGAAGACTTTTCAACACGGTAAACCTTTTATTTTGACAATTGAGCCAATTAAAATGTGTTACTGCATCTGTGGGTGTAATGTTTTTTAAGCTGGTCTTGTGGTCCCTTCCTCATACGTCTTTCCCAGGATGATGTAGGCCACGGCTTTACCCCAGGTATGAAGCTAGAGGCAGTGGACCTCATGGAGCCCCGGCTGGTGTGTGTGGCCACTGTTAGGCGCTGCGTAGGCCGGCTTCTCCTTCTCCACTTTGATGGCTGGGAGCCTGAGTTTGATCAGTGGGTAGACTGTCAGTCCCCTGAAATTTACCCCGTGGGCTGGTGTGAAATCACTGGCTACCAGCTGCAGCCACCCATCGGACCAGGTAGATTATTGTAATTCTCACAGTATTCATATATGCACTCCAAAATTTGGTTTTCATGTTATATTGTGCTCTCTGTGTAGAACCACCTCAGGGTCAGGAACGCTCGAACACAAGCAAAAAGGCAAAACCTTTTTTGGGGAAAAGGAGTATGTTTCATTTCATTTTATTCTTAGTTTCTTCTTTAAAGAAAAAATATTAAATATTCAATTTTGAATGATAGACAATTAAAGCACATGATGGTTACTTTCATAAAATTCCCCTCGAGTAGATTTGCATTGTGTTGTCATTATCTTTCCTTCATTCTCTTACTATTCTGTATTTGTCATTGTAGGACGAAGATTTGTAAAGAAAAACACAAATAAATGCACATCTAAAACCCAGCCTACTCAGCGTAATGAGAATCCAGAGACGAATCGACCACAAGAGGCACCAAACGTCACAAATCAACAACAAGAAGCAGGCAAACCCTTCGTCACAGCCCCCATCTTACAAATAAAGGCTGAACCTGAGGATGAAAGTATGTAGCATTTCATCTTAAAATATATTTCTTTTTTAAATATAGTTCTGACATGGATTCCCTGTCTCTCTCTCTAACACAGTTATTGCAGTAAAAGTGAAGGTGGAGGAAATGGAAACCCCCATATTATCCAGTGAACAAAGCAAAGAAAGCACCAACCCAGCAGCTTTAACAATCTTCAAACAGGAAGACGTCTCGGTTTAACCCACCACCTGTAGTTCCCAGTGATCACTACTTAAACACTGGTAGTTATTTAATTAACCAAACTGTTAGTGTAAAACAACAGGTATAGTTGAGCGATATTGTTATTTTTATACAGTGCACATTTTCTGCAATCTTGTATTAAAATGACATAAGTTGTGTTAAGGCATTTTCTGACTTTTATTCATTTTTCGCAACAGAATTGAAGTTTACAGAGTAATGTAGATGCTTGCAATACGGAATCATTGCATAATATGGAAGATACTGAATTAAAATTACACATTTTAATTTATTATATACCTGCTCATAAGCCTTTAAAGATTCATCATAAATGTTGAAAACAGAACATTTTTATAACAACACGCAAGGTAAGATCAGTTTTTTTTAAGGGTTTTAAAAAGTATTAATTAATATTTTCATTTTTATTGACCAGCATAGTAGATCGCTTGTAAACTAAAACTGCATTAAGCAGGTTAATTCTACACTCTAAACAGTCATAAATAAACTAGCACCCTCACTGATGTAAACTTAGTTTAAAAGAGGGTTAGGGTTTTGTTTATTTAAATCAATAACAGCAGTGTAAATACAGCAGGATCACACTGACTTCCTTTTCTTCATGGTCCTTTTCTGCACTGTTTTAGGTTTTACACTTTTGCCTTTGGCTCTAACTATCTTAATGACTTTTGGAGGACTGATTAGAGCAGATTCAGTCTTTGTGGCCTTAGTTGGTTTGGGGTGCTGAGTAGGAGGCTTTTCCCCTGGGCAACTCTTAAAAATATGGACAACTTTGACCCTTTGACCTCTGAGTTCTGGAGGGTGGCCACAGGTGGCTCTGACTTTCAGATTCACCTGCTCAATCCACCTAGAAGCAGAAGGAACAATAGAAGGGTTATATCATATTGAATTAAAGGCCCGATATACACTACCAGTCAAAAGTTTTGAATTGGAATTATTTTTAAATGTTGTTAAAATAAGTATTTTCTGCTCACCAAGGCTGCATTTATTTGATTAAAATACAACAACAACCAAAACAGTAACATTGTGAAATATTACAATTTAAAACAGCTGTTTTCTATGTGAATATAAAGTAAAGTGTAATTTATTCCTGTGATCAAAGCTGACTTTTCAGCATCATTACTCTAGTCTTGAGTGTCGCATGATCCTTCAGAAATCATTCTTATTTCATGATTTGATGCTCAAGAAACATTTCTCATTATTACCAATGTTGAAAAGTCATTTGCATTTTTATTTCAGGATTCTTTGATGAATAGAGCTAAAAAGAACAGTATTTATCTGAAATAGAAAGCTTTTGTAACATTAAACACTACCGTTCAAAAGTTTGGTCAGTAAGAATTTTTATTACATTTTTTGGGGGAAAGAAATAAAATAAATCAATACTTTTATTCATCAAGGATTAATTAAATTGATCAAAAGTTACAATAAAGACATTTATAATGTTACAAAAGATTCTATTTCAAAGCTGTTCTTTTGAACTTTCTATTCATCAAAGAATCCTGAAAATTGATCATTTTTGAGCATCAAATCCACATATTAGAATTATTTCTGAAGGATCATGCGACACTGAATACTGGAGTAATGATGCTGAAAATTCAGCTTTGATCACAGAAATAAATTATATTTAAAAATATATTAAAATAGAAAACAATATTACTGTTGTTGTTTTTTGTTTTGTTTTAAAGGGGTCATATAATGGTACATGCACTTTTACAAGTTGATTGTACTGAAATGTGTGTTGGCAGTGCCTGTACACAAACATCATAAAATGATAAAAATCCATCCAGTGTTTTTGTTTTAATCTCCTTATATGTTTTCCCCTGCCTCAAATCAAGCCGTTCGACCGTGTGACGTCACACGGTCGGACGCCCCTCCCGCGATTGTTGATTGACAGCCGGGTTTCAACACAGACCCGCCCTCGCTCGTGAGCCAGCTGTCAATCATAGTCTGCGCGGACCGGCGCGGTCATTGTTGATATGCTGGAGCACTGTCTATGAGCAGAATGGCGTCTAAGCGATTGTGGTGTTCTGTTCTTGGGTGTAATAACGAACACAGCAGTCATTTTAATGTTCCTAAATCCGAACCGCTGAAGACGCAGTGGCTGAGTTTGTTTTCGAAGGGAATATTCCCCACGAGCAACGTCAATGCTTTCATATTTGCGCCAATCATTTCACACACCAGACTGCTTATAAACGAGGAGGGTCAGTATAAAGCTGGTTTTGCTAAGAAGCTGCTCCTGGACCGGTACCAACTATTCGTGTTCCTGCTGAACCTCCAAAATAACTGAAGTGAGTGTAACGTTTTATTAATCTTTAATATTTATATTAATCTTTGCAAATCGCTAGATGCACGCTTCACAATGAATGCGTCTAAGGTTTACACTCAGGGTACATTACGGCATGTTTTCTATGTACGACGTTCTCAATATAATTCATAATCCCACGTCTATAATGAACAGTGCGTTATGGTTATTGTGTTACAAACGGTGTACACAGAACAGAGAGGCGGGGTGAGCACAGCTCATGATCATTTAAAGTCATATGCACTGAAACGGCGTGCTGAAAACAGAGCTGTTTTTGACCAGGTAAAATAAGTGTTTTCTTACAATACTAATGAGAATTTTTAATTAAAGTATATTACAAAGTTTTAATTTAGACTCTAAAGAATCATATTAGCTTGTACAAAAATGGCATTATATGACCCCTTTAAATCAAATAAATGCAGCCTTGGTGAGCAGAAGAGACTTCTTTTAAAAACATTAAAAATCTTACGGATCCAAAACTTTTGACTGGTAGTGTACTTCAAGCTTAATCGAAGAACGAACTGGTGTGATGACATTTCCAACAAAATCAGGTTAAAACAAAGTTTGTTTGTAGTTTGTTTTGGGAGTTGGAAACAGCTTGCCAAAGCAAACTTTGCTCTGGCTGGTAAAAACCTTCAAACTACCATTGGTTCATGGCGAATACATAATAGGTATGTGTGCGCTGGGGCTCCGACTTTAGTCCGCTGAGGTCATAAGCAAGTAAAAACATGAACAAAGTCGAGAGCTGCTTTATAGCAGAAAATGAAGATTTAAGTCAAGTCACCTTTCGGTGAAAGTCAGGTTTAGTTAAAAGTTTTTCATGTTTAATACTGTAAAGCAATATATTATGGACAGTGGTATATAAATGAACACGACATGACTATAATGCCGAATTGCAGAGCTTGTGCAAACATCCACATAGCTATTGCAGAGCTTGTGCAAACATCCACATAGCTACAATCAGATGCTTTCTTAACCGCTGTTTTCTCACCTCTGTCTTTTTTGTGTTTTTGAGTAGACTGATCTCATGAAATGGCGTATGTATGACACGCCAATTTGCATTTCCATTTTTGGCGTGCTATCAACACGCATACTCGCTTTTCAGCGTGTTTATCAACGCCTTGACTTAACGTTACATTACTGTATATATAAATATACGACCTACCCCAACCCCGTCCCTAAACCTACCCGTCACTGGAGTTAATACCATTTATGAGTCTTCCCCTACCATCCTAGGAAAAAAAATATTGCTCCACAGATGTAAATATACATTTTGCTTTGTTTCGCTCGTACATTTAACGGCGTGTGTACATACACGCGGAATCACTCGGACATTTAACGGCGTACACATACACGCAAAAGATGACGGTTAATTTCGGCGTGGACACACACGCGGAAAGCTCAAAATGCGTATAGATAACAGTATAAATACAGTAAAAACTAATTGTAAAATATTATTACAATTAAAAAAAAAAACTATTTTAAAATGTAATTTATTCCTTTGGCAAAGCTGAATTTTCAGCAGCCATTATTTCAGTCTTCAGTGTCTCATGATCCTACAAAAATCACTCTAATATGCTGATTTGGTAAGAAACATTTCTTATTATCAATGTAGAAAACAGTTGTGCTGCTTTAATATTCTTGTGAAAACCATGATAATTTTTTTTCAGAATGAATAGAAAGTTTAAAAAAAACCTTAAAATATTTTGCATTTATATCACTTTTGATCACTAAAATCCATCTTTGTTAATTAAAGGTCCTCAGTGCCCTCTTAATTTTGAACGGTAGTGTGCATTTTCCAAGCAAAACTCACTTGCGAAGAGGCAGCAGTGGACAATCACAGAGCAGTGGATTCTCTGCCAAGTTTATGACCTCGAGTCCTGTGAGTGGACTCAAGTTCGGCAGCTCCTCAAGCTGGTTCCCTTCAAGAAACAGACTCCGCAGACCAGACCCCAGTCCTGCCAGAGAATCTTTAGATACCTTCAAAAGGAAAGAGAGATTTAAACCGAGTTTGGCGTTCTTGTTGTAGCATTAGAAATGGTTTTGTCCTTACCTTTTCTAAACCCATATGATTAAGGTAAAGATGTTTAAGTGTGGCAGCGATTGACTGAAAACCTCCTGCTCCGATCCAGCGAATAGGGTTGCGAGAGAGATTAAGCTCTGCTAGGCTGCCGGCTTTAGAAAAGGCCTCACTTGGAACCTCCTTCAGTTTGTTGCTGCCTAGATGAAGAGTATCCAAGTCAGGTGCAGGATCAAAGGCCCTAGGAGCAATCGCTGTGATGGCGTTGGAAGTGAGATAGAGCCCCCTCAGTTTCTCAGCGCCGGTCAGGAGTCCTGCTTCCAGTTTAGCAATATCATTGTCCTCCATGTGCAGAGCCAGCAGACCAGGCAGCAGCTTGAATGCTCCTTTGGGGAACTGGGTGAAACGATTCTTTTCCAGATGGAGGTAAGTGAGGCGGGGCAACCCCTTAAACGCCTCGGGACTCAATGAAGTAAGCTCATTTTCTGAGAGGTAGAGGTAGACTAGACTCTTCATACCATTGAAAGCCCCATCTTCTACCTCGTGGATCTTGCAGCGTTGCAAATGAAGGGAAACCACTTCTGCAACACCTGGGAAACTGTTTGCTGGGATGTAGTGGAAATGGTTGCCCCGCAAGTCCAGCAAGCGTGTGTCTGGTGAAAAACCACGAGGGATCTTGATGTGGCCTTTGTTTTCGCAAGAAGAGTGGTGGTTGTCAGCCTACAAAATGTATGTGAGTCAATGACAATGTGTGTCAGTGTTATTTCAGAATCATTGTTATACTATTATAGTTGTTGTTAATATTTTGAATTAGATTTTATTTTTATA